GTTACATCACTTAAAAGTTTCTATTAACATATAAATTCCCTCTCCATGTCCTTCTGCCCCTGCAGTTGATTTTATTGACGAACTTGGGTCATTTGTCTTACACAGGTTCCCACCATCTTGACTAGGCTGATCGCATCCCCTGTCATGTTCACTTGGATCTCAGGGTTCTGTATTTCCTGTAAATAGGCAGTTGGATTGCGATGTTTGATCAGATCCACGATTAATTTCTTCTGTCAAGACCACCTCATAGGAGGTGTTGTGTTTTTTCATCAGGAAGCATACAATGCTTGGTTTTCTCTACTTGATGATTATTTTTTAATGTTAGCAGTGGTTGACGACTGTCTTAGCTCACGTTGTGCTGCTCTAACAGAGTATCTGACACTGGTAATTTAGAAAGAACTGGAATGTACTCTCTGACAGTTCTGGGGCCCAAGATCAAGGGGCTGGCATCTGGAGAGGACGTTCTTACTGCATCCTCACATGTAGGAAGGTGGAAGGGAAAGAGAGAAAGAAGGCAGTGTCCTCACATGACAGAAGGTGACAGAGTGATCCCAGCACCTCACGCTCTTTTTATACTAAGTTCTTTTTATACGAAACTCTTTTTATACTAAGAAGTAATTTTTAATACATAAATACAAAGTAATTTCCTCTCCATCTACTATTTGGTTATACAGTGATACTACTCATACGAAGGACATGTGGAATAGAAAATTTCTTTTTTTCTTTACGACTGGGTCTCCCTCTGTCACTCAGTCTGGTGTACACGGGACAATCACAGCTCACTGTAGCCTTGATCTCCCAGGCTCAAGAATTCCTCCTGCCTCAGCTTCCCACGCAACAGAGAGTATAGTCACACATCACCATGCCCACCCAAATTTTGATTTTTAACAGAGATGAGATCCTTTATAAATTACCAACCAGGGCTGGTAATTTTGTCTTTCCTTGAACAGTTTTCCAAATAATAAGCAACTTTATGACCTGGACACCTCCCATTAGGACACACCTCCCAACACTGTTGTACTAGGGATTATATTTCCAACATGTAAACTTGGGGGGAGACATTAAGACCAAAGCAATGATCAATACCTAGATCCATTATATCATCAGGAGTTGCAGAATAGCAATATTACAATGCTATCATTATATCTTCATTTATTAGCTGTAATACTTACATAAGAAGTATTTGGATATCCAGTGAAACCACACTACAAGGAAACTCAGAATAGATGAATTATTCCTTTTTTCTTTTATAAGGTTTCCAAATAATAAGATGATCTACTGATAGCCTTCTACTTGCTTGATGGCTTATTTATCATAATACACTCGTACATGTATTGCTGTTACTATCTTTATTGATGCACCCACTGTCCTGTCTTTGTGTCCCCTCCTAGGCCCTCTGCCCCACCTTAGTAATCTTTCATAACTGCCCTATTTTCTGATATAACAGGATGATCCAGGATGATCTCATACATTTCCTGTCCAGACTCGCTTTCAGCCATTTCTCTAAGAAGCTCTGATCCCATCAAATGAAAAATGCCATTTTCAGAGCATAGTGTGGCTTGAGAAATGCTGAGTTACTGGCTGGCCATTGATTCCAGAACTTTTCTGTGAACACACACAGGAATTTTTCTGCCCTCCAGGTTTCTTTTATAAAAACTAAAACATATCAGGAATTCATTATGACATGTCTTGTCTAAGTTGAGAATTATTCAATTTTTGTTCTCTCTCTTCTAACTTATATCTGTACACTTTTTCTTCTGTACTAAGTATCCTGGGTACTCAATGACACCAGGAGCGAGAGAATTAGAATATTATAATTTATCGTCTATCTCATCCTGTAATACCCACCAAAAATCTAAGATTAACAAGCAAAAATATCACCAGATACTGATAAATGTTACTTGGGGAGAAAACACTGCTGGGTTGAGGAGCAATGATTTAACTAAATCAGAGTTCTCTCATATTTTCTACAAAAAAAGCTCAAGGCCAAACTAATGGCAGCTTCTACGGAAACATAAAAAGACCTCAAGATGACAATTCTATCTACGAAAACCATCTAAGCTGTATCTTAATACCCAAACTTCATATTCATTTTTCTATTGAAAAAAATATGTATACTCTACATGTTTTTGTCAATTTCCACCAATTCTTTATGGAACAAAGGGGATGAGTGAATTCATTTATTGGAAAACACAGGAAAGTGACCATTCCTTCTTTAAAGCAAAAGTTAGAAATTTATTTATCTAAAAGCCTTTATCAAACATGTCCCCAATTAGTGTCGATTATCCTTCAATTAAGCAAATCTCTACATACTGTTAGCTTCTTTCTCATCTAAAAATAGCTAGACTACTAACTACAGCTCCTTATAGCAAAGACTAAGCCTTATTAACTCAAGCCTGGACTCGCCGCCTAGCACAAGGCATGGCTAGCACAGACAAACTCATGTTCTATGTCTGAATGAATGTCATTGACACAGTATGAGAAAACACCTTAACAGACAGGTGACTCATGTATGATGCATTACATTCACATAGTTATGGACCTGTGGAAAGCAGATGCTTAACATGCACTTACCCAGTGCCTGCCAAAACCTGAAAATCTAAACAACCTTCGCATATCAAAATCAGAACAAGAAAATAAGATTTGCATATTCTCCCACTGGTTGCTGCAAGACAACACATATGCTTCAAATGTAACTTCCTTTTCTCAATAAAAACAAAATAAAAAGAGGCATTTTGGGTTGAAAACAGCATTTAAATCTTAACACATAAGGCCAGCCAAATGTGGGTGGTTACATGTTAGAAATTTTGTAGAGTCCAGAGGAGTCAAAAGGTAAAAGTTGATAGGAACTATGTCAATCAAATTCGTAAGTCAACATAATAAAGGATTTAACTTTTCCTCTAATATTTTCTATGGTGCAGCTACATTAAAGCTACATATTGCTTTAGAAAAGATACAAGTACAAAAACTACAACAATAACACAACAGGATGTTCTGTATTTAAGTATATACATTACCATGTTATTGCTCAAATAAAGATACTATTTTCCAAACTTCTGGTATCTGAATATCTGAACTATCATTTAATTAAAATTTTCCATGAGTCAAATTTAGGCGGTCTATGTTGTACACACAGGATCATTCCAAGCAGATATCCACTAAGTCAAAGGCTTAATGAGCTAGTGAAAAATAAACTACGGCTAACTCGTGTGCCACCTACACATCATTTTGTATATCCGGTATGGTATATGCCTCACCTTTTGAAAAAACACTGCCCAAAGCAAATCCAATGTAAGATTTTTAAGCATTATATCCTAGTAGTAAACAAACTGATTTTCACCAAATTAGTTTCTTGCACATGTGCATAAATAAACCTAAATCTCTTGCATGTAAAAAATATTCAGCTAAAACAACTTATGCCTTCTGTTCCACCCCAAGCTTCCTGGGAAACATCTGTCATTATATCTGAGTCTGATCTTGTCTGGATGATAGAAAGCAATTGTAAGAAGTAGTCAGCACTGGTCTGTGGCTGCACGCAATCCTCTAGAGCATCACTTACAATCCTATCTTGAACTATGCCTCTTAAGTTCTCTGCACCTCTGCATGGCACACTTTTCCTGTGGGTTCTGATGGGCTAACAGATCTCTACTGCTGAATTGCTCTTCTTTGCTTGTTCTCCTTATATACACCTTCAAGGGACAGCAGAAGCAGCAGTAGTTTGTAAACATCTGGAAGCAAATTGCCAAATTGCTACAGATTGCTATCGATGCAAAAAAATGGGAATTAGGATGCGTTTTTAGAAGAATAAACTATACATTCTAAATATTATCTACCTATATTCTATTCCTAATTATATATTATATTAACATATATTATTACCCATCTGTTTATAAAGATCTACTGAAGGCTACCAATCAGTAAACACATATAAGACCCAAATTTTCTACTTAAAAAGACTGAAGTGTTTCTAAATAGATGTACCTAAAAAATATATGATTTTTTTTTTTTTTTGAGATGGAGTTTCACTTTGTTGCCCAGGCTGAAGTGCAGTGGCACAATCTTTGCTCACTGTAACCTCCACCTCCTAGGTTCAAGCGGTTCTCCTGTCTCGGCCTCCCAAGTAGCTAAGATTACAGGCACCCACCACCACACCCGGCTAATTTTTGTATTTTTATAGAGACAGGGTTTCACCATGTTGGCCAGGCTGGTCTCGAACTGGTGACCTCAAGTGATCCACCCACCTTAGCCTCCCAAAGTGCTGGGATTACAGGTATGAGCCATCTCACCCAGCCAAATAATCTTTTAAGCTTATACATTTATTGAAATTGATTTTCTAACTCTTAACAACTACTCAATTACAAGATTATACAACTACAAACAATAAATAATTGTAGCAAAAATATGTCACTTTGATGAATACCTTCCAGAAATGGCTAACAGAGCTCTTCGGGCAAGTGTCCTGGATCTAGAATACCCAGGGTGATAGGATTCCTCATACAAAGCTCATTATGTCCGTACCCCCCTCCCCTATGGAGGTATTCTAATCACGGCTCTCCCAGATCCCTGAGGATAACTTTGACAGGGAGGTCTCTTCTTCCCCAGCTCTTCGGATAACGCTCATATAACATAAGTAATGGTTGTAAAAGAGTTGACTGTAATGAATGATGCCATGTTTTGTTTCAGTGCAAAGCTCTTTTGTTATTTCTGTTTGTTCTAGCATTTAGAGAAAATATATGGAAAGGAAAATCCAAATAATTTAACTTGAATTATTTTCCTAATTTACAGTTAGCAAGTCATGGAAAGTCTACTCGTAAGCCTAATCTATTACAACGTAAAAAACTGCCTGCTTCTCTTGCAAAGGACATTTGCCTGGGTCCTAAACTTAATTTTTGTAAAAAACAGATAATTAATTCCATTTACAGGAGCATGAATGAATAACAAAAGTTGGTATTCCTGTAAATTAAGATGAAATGTTAAGAGAAGAAAGAACTTTCACTTACTTGCTCGAAGGACTGAAGGTGTGACCTCAATTTCACTTGTTGCTTGGTAAGGCTGAAAGGCTGAGACGCTGTTGGTGGCAAGCTCACTACCAAATATCTCTGGGCTCTGGGTACCCGTGGAGCTGGCACTGGTGCCATCACCTCCATGATGTGGATCTTGCTCATCAAATACCGCTACCAGCTAGAAATGAAAGGTAAATGTGCACTTATAAATAAAGGCACTTAACATAGTTAGGTAAATACACAGACAAATGGGTATGTGTACCATCAAATGTTAATGAATGTGTGAGTACACAGAGTTTCCAGGTCTGTTTACTCAGAGTCCCTAGAGGCAATGACACTGAGCACACCTAGTACCCAGATCTTGGTTTCTAATACCATTCTCTAGTTAATGAACAAGGTTCCTTGAAAAATGGCTGATTTCACGGTTGCGGTCTGGGAAACATACGGGATCCCTGGAATGCCTTGTGATGCCATAAAGTCAGAAGTATTAAAAAATGATGAAGGCACACCAAAGGGAAACAGGTGCCAACCTGAGGGAGCTCCCAATTGCCAAAGCTGAGACAACTTACAAACAAAATAAGTAACACTGGCATTGGATCATAATCCAAAGAAAAAACTAAAATCCATGAGTCCATAATGATATAAATAATTGAACAAATAAATGGTAGAGAATGAACAGCTATTCCCTGCTGTAGCATTCTAAATAACAAATAGAAGGAATAACGGCAACAGAAATCATCATTAGGCAACCTCCACAGTAAAAACTGTTCAGGTAAAATCTACTAATGGATGCAAACATTGATGGATATGAATATGATGATAAGCAGGATATTTGCATAGCTCAAAATGTCTCCTCACAAGACACATTTTGACTAAAAAGTAAACAGTAATATCACTGAAGTAGAGAAGCCTGGCAGCCACCACTGTACCCGAGTTAACAGCATCCATAGTAAGATGTAACAATATCACTTACTATCTCATAAAAGGCTCTGGGAAGTAGATAACATTACTCTTGTGGTATTCTTGCCAAAAATGTATAACTTCCATCTAACAGTGAGGAAACATCAGACAAACCCAAACTGAGGGATATTCTGAAACATAAAGCTCTCCAAAAGTATCAAGGGTCATGAAAGTGAAAGAAAGAATGGGGAAACTGAACAAACTGGAGGAGTCTGAGAAGGCTGTGAACTACATGCAGTGGGAGGAGAGAGAAGGACATTACTGAAAAAACAGGCCCAATTCTAATGAGCTCTGATTAGCTGACAGAATTGACTCAGTGTGAGTTTCTTACTTTTGATAACTGTTCTATGATGATGTAAAATGTTAACATTAGGGATAGATGAAGGGTAGAGGGAAATGCTCTGTAACTATTATTCCAATTTTTTGGAATTATAAAATTATTTCAAATTTAAAATTTTAAATGTTATAACATAGTATTTAAAAATGCTATGAAAATACAAATTTATTCTATGTCTTCTTATAACTAATACAGTTCTTAATACACTCACATACTTCTTCTTATAACTCCCAAAGAGTAGGCTGGGCTTGGTGGTTCATGCCTGTAATGGCAGCAATTTGGGAGGCTGAGGCGGGCAGATCACTTGAGGTCAGGAGTTCAAGACCAGCCTGGCCAACATGATAAAATCCCATTTCTACCAAAAATATAAAAAATTAGCTGGGTATAGTGGCACATACCTGTAATCCCAGCTTCTTGGGAGGCTGAGGCAGAAGAATTACTTGAAACCAGAAGGCAAAGGCTGCAGTGAGCTGAGATCGCACCACTGCACTCCAGCCTGGGTAACAGAGCGAGACTCTATCATAAATAAAATCACAAAGAGTAAAAAACTTCTAAGGATCCACAATGGCTGTCACTGTGGAGATTCACCCTTCAATCTCACACCTAGCAACTCTGCTTATAACCTCCAAGAAAAGAACCATGACTGGAGCCAAAGCAAACCCCTCTTCCACCTCCAATCCAAGTTTTTTCAAGGCCAGTACTCACCTCAGGTAAAAAAACAGAAATGCTAATGTACAGAATGTGAATCGGACTCAAAATTACAACCTTCATTTAATAAATGGTTTTGTTGTTTTGAACAAATGCTATTTCCATGAATATTTATATGTCATCGATCCATTTATGACACAACAAAGAAAACCTGAGGTATAGATAGAATCAGCTGATTAAACAATCTGGAAGACTAGTACCAGGGTTCATACCATACCAGGGCAACTTGTATGAAGAAATCACAGTAGGATAAATAGTTGGGCCACTCAACCTTATAATGAACAACATAAATGGGAAAAGAAGCCGGGCGCGGTGGCTCACGCTTGTAATCCCAGCACTTAGGGAGGCTGAGGCGGGTGGATCACGACGTCAAGAGATCGAGACCATCCTGGTCAACATGGTGAAACCCCGTCTCTACTAAAAATACAAAAACATTAGCTGGGCATGGTGGTGCGTGCCTGTAATCCCAGCTACTCAGGAGGCTGAGGCAGGAGAATTGCCTGAACCCAGGAGGCGGAGGTTGCGGTGAGCCGAGATTGCGCCATTGCACTCCAGCCTGGGTAACAAGAGCGAAACTCCGTCTCCAATAAATAAATAAATAAATAAATAGGAAAAGAAGTCCTTAATAGTTACCAAAAAATGGAAAGGTATGCATATGTATACACCAAATTATCCATATGCAGTAAAATCAGCTTATTTATCTGACACTGACTGGCAAGTGTCTGCCTGTATTAGCGACACAGACATACCACTCTAGATTAGGGGTCAACTGGCAAACTTTTTCTGAAAAGACTAACATAGTAGATATTTTTGGAGGTGTCGTCCGTACTGCCTCTTCCATGCTCTACTCAGCCACTGTAGCATGAAAGAGTACCCGTAGACAACATACAAACAAATGACTGTGACTACATTTAAATAAAACTTAACTTATAAAAGTAGGCAGCAGGCCAAATTTGGCCAATCGTCCCTAGTTTGACAACCCAGCCCAACAAGGATGCCCATCTTCCTAGTAACATGAAATTTTAGTTTCGGTTGAGCAATAAAACTTCGCAGCCCTGAAAAAATAAAAATACTCATTTCAAGGTCTGCATGAAGATTTTGGATTTCTACACTTGATTTTAATATCATCATACTTTTCATAAGGTGTGTGGTTTAATATGCATTTTGAAGATATTAAGTGTTGACATTTGGGTGCTTAATTGGAAGCAAATGAAATTCATGTTTTGTTATTAGCTTTTCACAATGATGTGTTCTCTCAAGAATCAAGTCCTTTCTGCAAACTGAAAATGGAGATTGAAAATTGTAAAGAACGAGTCTTTAAATGCCACACATGATGGAAGAGCTTATACATATATATTGGTTTCGACAATTATCTCTGGCATTTTTAGAAAACATTATAGAATCACAGTTGGTGATTTGCAATATGCCAATAACATACAATTCTACAGCTTTCTTTTAAACCAAAATTTAAGTGACAGGTGCAGATATGAAGCAATTTTGTGTTAAACTGGGAAAGATATATAATTTTAGAAAATCTACTCTATAAGAATACATATAGTAACACAGCAAAAAAGGGGGGAGAACCTTCACAAAAAAAAAATACACTGCATATTAAAAATCTCTATCATGCCCTTCAAAAAGCAAAGGAAATGTCTTTTAAATTTGTGAAATGTTACTCAAATTCTTATTTAACAGATGGAATCTTCACTGCTGTCCACAAGGCAGATCATTTTTGAAAGTTCATTTTTACTTGCAATAATTATTAAACTCTCTCCCGTTCCATTCATCTATCAGGTCTCCGTGAGAAAACACAGGCCAAATCTGAGTAACACCTACAATAACCCAAGTATAAATAAACTCTAAATATTGCCACCCATGTCCCCCTACCTCAGGACAAGTCACTTTAACTATAAAACATCAGGAACCCCCGCCCCCCCCGCAACAGAAAACCTGTTATAGAAACATCACATAGAAATGCTTATAAAACCACTGGATCTAGGGAAGTCCCTTTAATGAGTAAAATTAAGAGCTGAAAGCCCACAAGTGCATGAAAGCAAAGTGACTTAACAGCAATGAGAATCAGAGAAAGCTACGTTCAAAGCCAGCTCTGACCTTATTTCTTGGGTAGATGTTTGTAAATCCAGTGGCCTCTCTAAGATCTCTAAACCTTACTTTCCTCATTTGGAAAAAAGGATGGTGGTTGTGGGTAGACAGAATAATGGTCCCCCCTCAAAGTTATCCACAGCCAAACTCCTGGAACCAGTGAACGTGACCTTCCATGGCAAAAGGGACTTCGCAGACAGGATGGAGGGTAAGGACCTTAAAATGGAAATGGTATCCTTCATTATCCAGGTAGAGTCCTATCTAATTACATAAGTCTGGAAAAATGAAGAGCCTCGTCTGGTGTGGCCAGAGAGACATGTGATAGTGGCCAGAGAAATGCTACCCTGCCCACCTTGAAGATGCAGAAAGGGAGTCGCGAGCCAAGGACTGTGAGCAGCGGTTAGAAGTCAAGGACATGGATTCTCTCCTAGAGCCTCGAGAAAGGAGCATGGTTCATACCTTGATTTTACGGCATTCTGACCCATGCCAGCCTTCTGCCAAGCAGAACTGCCGGGTAATGAATCTGCACTGTTTTCGGCCACTTATGCCTGCTCTGCCAGGCGTGGGACAAATAAAGAGATAAGGTATACAACTGGCAGAACACAATAAGCATGTTTACTATAAGCTTTCATTAAATTATGCTGTGATGGTTGACAAATGAGAATCAGTTTCAAGAGCAAAGAAGACTGATACAAAGCTCAATCGCTGTGTCTCGGATCTGCACAGGAGTGGTAAGGGGAAAAAGAATGAGGAAGGAAGCCAACATGCTAGAAAACGCATGTTCAACACAGCCACAAAATGAAGACCCTCCACAGATGCTCTGTGTCCTCCTCCAGAGGGCCCCACAGAAACACAAAGTAGCTTTTATTATTTCACTTAACAGGAAGCAAAGCTGAGGCCCAGAGAGACGGATTTGACTAGCGTATAAATAACTGCAGAATGAATCTGAGACGGGAAATCAAGTCAAAGACCCATTTTCTACAAATCTTCCTGCTCTGGAGCATCTAACATCCACAGCACAACACAGGCAGGCTAAACACCAAGATCATCTGCAGGCCTCTGAATAGGAT